TGTTTTCTATGCCATAACTTTATAATGTATACAATAGAAACATTCCTTAAAGTTAGACATGTATCATGACCCCTGGAGTTCTCACAGCAAAACAATACATCCTAGGTCTCTGTGACATATATCACTCCCTCTGAAAAAAATTTACTTGTTGATAACTGAAAGAAAAATAATAAAACTCAGCATCATAGTAATGGCTTTCAAATAGATATTATATTAATTTTGGTCCAGTGTTTTTGATTACATTATGTGGTTTATACCAACAGTAGGTCAACATTGAGCCTATGACACTCATCAAATCTAGTTAACTTTCAACATTTGCCACCGCACAATGGCTTATGCAGCAAATCTGCACAACTGTTAGCCTCGTGTATTTTCACATATTTCTCTTAGACCTGCAAGAATAGCCTAGCTACAAATAATAGCCTACAGTGGGTGGGGTTTTTGGGGGGTTTTGGGTTTTTTTGGTTTTTTTTAAACAGAAGTCAAATGAAATTGAAATCTTAGAGGAATTAAAATTATGTTCAGAATTTCAAACACAGTGTTATAAAAATTAAATTGAAGGATCTTCCTTCCAGTACTACCTGTCCCAGATGAACAATGCATCTGTTTAAAAGGTAAATGTATAAAGGAGGAAATATAACTAATATAATATAAAGCCGTATGTTCCTAATATACAAATGATCTTTAATATCAGCTACTGACTGCCGGCTATTTCTATACATTTGCTTCAGCAGAGGGTTTATTTTCTGTCTATGGCATTACTGTAACATTTACAAGTAGAAGCTTCAATTTTAATACAAACTCAAATTAAATTAACAGTTAAAGAAATACAGTAAAACTATTAGGCAGCAGAATTTAGTGCAACATTTCTGTACTATAACTACATATTACCAGTCTGACCACTGCAAAAAATAGGACCCAAGGCATTACATCTTTAGAAAGGTTTAGTGTAACAGTTGCCAAAATTTGGGGAAAAACTGCAACACTGTTAAGATATTCTGGAAGTTATTACCTGTGTTGTTTCCATATTTGCAACATAATCAAAAGTGAAGATCTTTGGCTCAGGCTTTGAATGCAGACGGATGGTATTTGATGAAAGAACAGATAAACACAGGCCTTGATCTCCATCAGTTAACGCAGTTCCCTCTGAAGGGGGGCGTACCCTTACATAAACTTTGATAGCATCACCTTCAACACTAAATGAATATTTGTGTATTAGATTACTTTGAAATAGATCTACCAGCTGTTTGATAGAATTAAATCACAAAAATCAGAATAAGCATGTGAAACTATACAAAGGTCTCTACTGAAAATATACCACTTCTAGCTGTACACATCAATTCATTACAAGTCAAAGTTCTATTAAAGGTAACAATGGGGCAGATTTAAAAACAAAGAACATGAAAGTTAGTGGAATTGCTGTTGCATATAACTTCAGGTCTAAAAGCACACATTTCACAGTGAACTTGAAATATATAAACCCAGTGTTATAATAAAAGTTTTGGTAGTTTTAAGACTATGGGCTTCAAGAATCCTTCTTACTACTGGAAGTTATAAAAGACTTCACAAATGGAACAGATGATGCTACTCTCCAGCAAGAAAGTTACTTGCATTTTTCTTTGCTGCTTGCAATAAAAGAATAGTGATAGTAGTAATAATAATAATAAAGCTTTGAGGAGTTCTGGCATAAACACCAATATAATGTTAAAGAATTAAATTCTTACATGAAGCAGCAGCAAACTTGGATTTAATTTACTTCATTCTTCGCCAAAAGGCGGTTATAGCACGAGGGTGTTATAATTGTTATTGATTTTGACTTTTGGTAAACAAGAGAAAGGAACAGAATAGTTTTAAAAGTGGGGGAAGGACTTAATGACTGAAATATGGGGTTGGGGAGTAGCTGAGGAAAGGGCCAAAAAAGAACAGGAAGCAGATGAGAAGGGGAAGGCGTTACATTGGATTTAAGACACACCACACTAACTTGTCAAATTGTTTTTCATTAGATAATATTATTGTGAGTTGTGGCAGAAACTATTTGTATTTGGAGGAGGGCTTTTTGGTTTAGCTTAGAACTTCCTCACAGTATTGAAGCTCCTCATAGCATATCTCTTCAGAAGAATTCTATAGTGCAGCCGCAGAGTTAGCGGACAAATTGAGAATTTACTGCATGGCAGCATTCTAATTGGAATCTGATCCCTCAGAAAAACACTTTTATTAAGAGAACATTTTTCTTAAAACCTGTAAGGAAGTTAGGAGAGAAAGGCAACAACCTTGTGCAGGAAAACACTGAAAGAAGAAACTTTAAATTATTTTACAAAGTTATACTAGGTTCTGTTTGCACCTTTTGTACAATGTGATTATTAAGATAAAGGAACTGGCCAATACTACTTTACCTAGGTGAGTTCAACAAAGGTAATGCAGAGTCACGTAAATCTATAAAATAAAAGGGAAACCAACAAAGATTAAACAAGATAAAATTCTTCCTCAAAAAACCCCACTTAAATAGAAAATACTGCAAGCAGTACTGAGGTAGATAAATGGAGAGCCTTATAAACATCTGTTTCATGCATGAATGGGAATTGCACAAAAATATTTAGTAACTATCTTCCTTTGACAAAAAGTTTGCAGTTTCTTGCAAAGGTAGAGGAGGCTCCAGTCCCGCAGTACGAGCATGCACACGTCTGTAAAATGTATGTGCAATGAGTAGTCTCTTAAATTTATGTATATAAGGTTTTGCAAGTGTTTTTGAGAACAAGGAACATAAATGTTAGTAGTATTATATATTCCCATTATATTTTAAAAATTGCTAACTCACTGCAGATAAAAATAACAATACAGCAGGAAATAGTTTTACTGACGTGACTGCAAAAACTCGATTTCCTAAACCTGCACAACTGAGTAGCTATATTACTTCCACCTTTATGAAGTGATATTGAGCACTCCGTAATACACAAAGCTCTACTATACGCATGAGCATCATTTTGCACAGCTTCACGTTTCAAGGGGATGGCACATATTAACCCCATAGGTAATTACAGTGACTTATTTTTTACTTAAGGGTGAATCTAACATGAAATTATTTCACATAGGTTAGTCAAAACATTAGCTAAGTAACATAATCAAATTTAAAAAATAAGTGGTAATGAAAGATGATTTAGCAAAATATTCCAATAATAAAGACCTTACCAAGTCTCTAAAAGTGCACAGGTTCTGTTGTAGGAGGATCCCTTTCAAAGTACGATTAATAATGATGTGCAAAGGCACAAAACTCATTGACACTCGTACTACATAAATATCCTGCTGCTGCTATGTGGAGCCTACCTGCTTTGATTCACATAATAACATTTGAGAGATGCGCTAACTTCTAATTCGGTTATTTACTCTTCAAATGCACAAGGTATCAAAGCGAGCTGGGACATTTTAAGACTGAAATCAGACTGACAGATACTTGCACAACCTGTACCTTGGGAAATGACCGAGTCCCAGCCTACCGTTCTCAGCTCCCATTTTAAAGTGCTGCTTTCACTTGAACGTTTGTAACACACCAGTTACCAACACCACAGCTAATTAAAACTCAATAAAATCGCAGCAGGCGAACTAATAAACGCGGGACGGCTGAGAGCGACAGGGTTTGTAAAGCCTTCCCGCTCGGGAGGGCTGCTTACACGTACCAACCACGAGAAGCCCTGGGGGATACCGGTGCCAGAAGCGCTTCTGGGAGCGCTGGGGGTCACCCCGCTCCGTACCGATTTTCCACCCCCACCGCCCTTCCTCGACACCGCCGGGGGCAGCGCGGCTGCCCCGCGGGCACTCCGGGAGGGCAGCCCCAGGGCACCAGCCCCTCCCGTGGGGCCGCCAGCTCAGCCAACACGGCCATACCTCTCTACCCGACCCTGTTTGTTCTCACCCCTGGGTGATACTCCCCCGGGCGGCGGCCGGCCCCGGAGGGCAGAGCCGCCCCTCACCCGGCCGGGGGCACTGCCTGCAGCGCGGCCTGCCTCACCGAGCCGTCCCGGTACCCGCCTGCTCCTCGCACAGCAGGGAAACGCCCCTCAGCCCCTTCCCGGCCGCGCAGCCCTGCGCCCACCCCGGCCTCCCTCCCCTCTCATGCCGGGAGCCATGATCCTCGCCGGCCCTGCCGAGCCCAGCGCCTCCCCGCCCACCGGCCACCTCTCCAAAATGGCGGAACGTTTGAATTTGGCGCTAAGAGCCGCAGGCAGCGTGGCCCCGCCCGCTCCCCGAAGCCGGCATAGGCGCGGCCATTTCGCTTTATAGCCTCCTTCCCCGCTCCGGCTTCTCTCCTGCCGTTGGCTGAAAGTGCCTTCGCCCCCTTCACGTGACGGGGGGGGCGTGTTCTGGGAGGGAGGTGGTGTGTTGGTTATGTCCCGCTAGGGCCACCGTCCTCTGGCGTCCGCTCGGCCCGGAAGTGCGCGGGGGCAGGCGGCGGGGCGGCTTGGGCGGCGAGCAGCGGCCATGAGCAAAAGGAACCAGGTCTCCTACGTGCGGCCGGCCGAGCCCGCCTTTCTCAGCCGCTTCAAGCGGCAGGTCGGGTATCGGGAGGGGCCCACGGTGGAAACCAAGGTAACGGCCTGGCCCCGTGCTCGGGCAGCGCGGCCCTCCCGCCCCAGGCTGCTGCCGGCCCCCGTCCTGTGGGCCTGTGTCGGGGCCCTGCTTCCCTCCCCACCGCCGCGGCCGCCCCCTCGCCGGGGGTGGGAAGGGGTAGCGCCCGCCCGCTCGGCGGTGTCCCTCCTAGGGCCCGTGAAGGCGGGGGAGAGGCAGCGGTTCCGGGCTTTGCCCCTGTAGGCCAAGGGGCAGCAGTAGTCACCCACTTAAAATTAACTGAAACTCTTTGTAACTTGCTTTTTGCTTCTGTTCAAAACCAAAAAATCTAGTGCCCCTCGCCATTACTGTTTTTAATAATTGTAACTGTGGTGGTCATGGTGTCCTTTGCAGAGCAGCTGGAGCTGACCTGTCAGCACCTGGGGAGGCAACGGGGGAAATAGCAATGATGGCCCAAGTTTAACTGGCCTTACAAAGCCCAGGCAGGAATATTAAAAAAAAAAGTTTCACGACTCTAGTAAAAAAATATATATCATCTTAACATCAGGTCAGCAGACACAAACTGCTGTGATGGCCAGGATGGCAGGGCAGGGCAGTAGTGTTTTAGCCAGCCTGTTAAAAGGCAGACTTCTACAAGGGCGTTCTTTTTTTTCTATGTTTCCAGTGTGCTTTTTATGTGTGTTTCCTATTAACTGTAAGGTTTTACAAGGTGCCCTAAGAAAGAGGCCTGTCGTTACTTATGATGAGCCGGAATCTGAGATAAAAGTATGCCTTTAGTAAATTTAGTATGAACTGTTTCACTTCCCGAGGAAGACTGCATTTTGTCTTATCTCTTGGTAACTTCAGTAGATTATGGTAATACTATCTATACTTCTCCTTGTAAGGTGAAATTTTCAGTTCCTATAATGTTGCCAAACTTTACGCTGTTGCAATGAGGTTTCTATGCCAGCAAGTTTATTTATGTGAAGTTTTATTCCAAATGATTCTTCTGTCTCAGAGCGCACATTTGAGAGAGTGGAAACAGGGACGTGGTCTTCTTTGTGTCAATAATGCTTACAGTGATTTGGTTAGGTAGCTTTAATAACAAAGCCACCATGGACTCCCTTTCCCTTTGCGCTGTTTTGAGTACAGCACAGAATATTCAAATTTGGACCCACACATTTAAGATTCTCTTAGTGTCGCATGGCAGGCAGTGCTTGTACAGTAAGAATAATACACAAAAGGAATGAATTTCTTACCTCCCAAGTTCCTACTGTTTTGGTCTTTAATTGGAAGAGACCATACTATTTTTTTCCTAGGAGACGCTATGTCTCAGTGATAAAATTGGAGTGTCATTTGGACAAAGTGCATTGGGAGGCCCTGGCACTGATAGATGTGCAAGGTCTCCTCACTAACCTTACTGCAAAAGTGAAACCAAAGAGTACTCGCCCACCCTGAGCTGCTGTGATTTAATGTGGTGATCAGAACTGCTTTTATTTCTCTCCTGTCTAGAGAGAGCAGCTTCCACTTGCGGATGGTGATAGTGACAACGGCAGTGACAATGAAGATGAGCAGCCTCAAGTGGTAACGCTGAAAAAAGGGGACTTGACAGCAGAAGAAGCAATGAAAATTAAACAGCAAATCAAAGAGGCCTTAAAGTCAAATGAATCAGGTGAATTTCAAACTACTAATTTGTTGTTTTGTATAGCCAAAGATAGATAACCCATAAAAGGGGGCTTGATACTTGCTTGGTTTTCTGCCAAGTTTGATTAGTTGTTTTGAATTTTTCAGTTAAATAATTTGGACTTGTGATTCCTAATCTGAAGTTGCTGAGTACATACCCAAGCTGTCTGGCTTTTTGTAGTGTTGCAATTCTGTGCTTCGTGATTGTGCATCATCCTACCTCCAAATACCACCTTAAATCTTTTTTCCTTTTCTTTTTTCTTTGGGCTTTTTTTTTGTTTTGTTTTGTTATGGTGTGTCATTGTCCTAGTACACAGTCTTTTGACATCACCTGTGATAATTTTTGAACTCATTGATTAGTTCAGCCAAATTTGATGGTGGAGCAGATGTCTTAAAGGTAAGTGTATGAGTTCATGAGAGAGAGTGGACAGAAGGGGGAAACTCAGGTTAATGCTTCAGTAGAAAGAATGGCAAGTGTTTAAGCTCAGTAATGTGTTCACTTAACTGACTGGTCCATGTTATTACTTGCTTAAAGTCATCCTCAGTATGTGTTGTGACTTGCAAATATATTAAGCAAAACTAAATGTGTTAGTTGAAAATAACAGATGATACAATAGTGCCAGCAAACAGCAAGGTATAGAAAAAAATGTTTCTTTGCTACAAAGAATTAGAAAAGCTTTTCTAAGTTATTTAACAGGCTTTTCAAGACTGGAAAGATGAAAGTGGTGTTGGAGAAGTTGCTGCAGTTAGACAATAAAGACGTGAAACTATAGCTGATGAATACAGTTATGTTAAGAATTTCTGTCAGTATTCATCATTCAGATATGGTTGACATAAATGCTTTGGGAGTCCAAAAATTTCCATCATCACACAGGGTGCGATAATATGTAGCTTTGTTTTTTGCTGACAGAGAACATAACAGATTAAAAGTAGATATTACTATCAGTAGTGGAAATGTCTTGACAATTAAAAATATAGAACTGGAACCTCACAAATATAAAATAGAAAGGTGATTCATAGAAGCTGTGGGCCTTTTCCTTGGGTAGCCATTGTGGCTATTTACAAAGGCTGTAAATTGAGTTTAGAGCAGATTGAGAGGCCAGCACACAGCTATCAATATGACATCCTTAGCTTCTGTCGTCTTCTGCCATTTGGATTCAAAAATTCAGGTTGTGTGCAGGGAATTCAAATAACAGTAGCGAGAGAAAATACACTGAGTATCTTACATTTTTGAAAAGCAGAGTGATGAAAAATTCTTACTTTTTATAATGAAGGTTAGCTTGAAACTAAATAAAACTACATCTGATAAATAAACTATGTCTGATTTCTTTCTGCAGGTAAACATGTATGTAAGATGTAACCAGGTAGTGGACTGAGAGCTGTGTTAATATAATTTGAACTCCTCTGAGAAAATGTGTTCAGCTTCCGGCTTACTTCCTGGTCTCTTATTGAACTGTAATGGATGTGCTTGGTGCTGCAGTTTGTAAAGTTGTCACATGATTTCTTTTCAAAAGTGGGATCTCCCTCCTAGTACTGGGAGAAATTTCAACCTATTGGGAATAAATGTCATGATTCTTTCTAAGCATTGGTTACCTTTTCATAAAAGCAACTTGAATTTTGAATGATCACAGTAGGAGGAAAAATGATTTTGTCAGGCTAGGCAAAAAGAGGGAGTTGTCCATGAGAATCTATTGAGGTGGAGTCCATGCTGTGAAAAAGTCCAAAAGAGCTACCAAGTTGAATACACAGTATGAAATGGAGGTGTATTTGAATAGAGTAACTGAACTTCTTTGGTGGAAAAAGACATTCCTAAGGCATAATTGTATGCAGTGAGGATGGTAGTACTGAGTCCCTGTAGGACTTTTGCACCTCTGCTTATTACCCCTTCAGCCCTTCAGTAATAACTTGCATTTGGAGGAAAAAACCACGCAGCAGTAGGTAGCAGGAGCGTTGAATCACTGTGCTCTGGGGACTGCTGCCCTCTGTTCTACATTATTGTGTTACTATTCATTCATCTGCCTTTGCTGTTAATAGGAGGTCTTGGCCTCCTTTTCCTGTTTTTTGGCTTATGGGAATAAACAGGGTAAGTGCTACTATGTTCCTCTGCTATGGAGAGGACCTGGTGTGAAATTTTTAATGAAGGTGTGTGTGACTGTGCTACAGCTTGCTGAAGGGTTTTTTGAGTCTTTGTCCATCTTTGCACTGTCAGTCTGACCTCTAGATTTAAATCCTGATTTCTAGTCAGAGGCAGGTATTTAGACAGCTGGTTCCTTCCAGTCTAATAAAGAGTTTTGAATAATGTGTTAATTTCTTTTCTTTTTTTTTGGATAATTGTCAATTCTGAAAATGGGAAGTATAAAGAAAGTTTACAGCTGCGTGATTTGATTACATTTCTTGCTGCTTTGATTTTTTTCCCAGAGTTGAAAGTGAAATTAATTTAATGGGTACTAGACCATAATATATAGCCCCAAATCAGATCATTAGTGAAATTATGTGAAGCGGAAAAGGTAGCAGGGTAGTAAATTTTCTAATTGATAATCTTCCTTTCCACCATGCATTAATGCTGAGGCACTTTGATAGATCGTAAGTAATGTGCTGCTAACTATTTGTTGTGAATAGAAACTTAGTTTTTCAAAACATGGGCTGTACTCAGATTTGAGGTTCTGCTCTCTCCTCTTTTTTAAATCTATAGTGATTGTCTTCATTTGCTGGTCCTTGTCTTCAGGCTTTGGTTTGGGATATTATTCTAGGATTTTCCGTATCTCATTTACATCCTTTCTCCTTTTTTTTCTATAACCAGTTTGACACGGCTACACTTTTTATTTCAGGCACTAGCAGTTCCTCGCATTTGACTTGCATTTTCTTTTACAGATGAGTAACACTTTTGCATTAATTTGGCAAAACCATCTGATTAATGTCCTAGCTGCACTGAGTTGCCTCCTAAGGCAGAATAAAATTTAGCTAAGTTTGTACATTGGCTTTTGCAAGTATAGTTCCAGGGAACTTTATTTAGGGCTGAACCTTTCCTATATGAGAAGATACTCTTCCATATTGAAATATTTTTCTCCATGTAAGACTGACTTAGAGGCTTTTAAAAAAGAAGTCATTTGTTTATCGACAGTCATTTTGCTTAATATTTTTATGCAGCATTTTATAAATCATTACTGTTGGTTCAGAGTCAAAGAAAAATGGTCTTAGGAGAAATTAAATTTGCACAAAAGAAAAGGTGGCAATTCCTGCAAGATACTTTATCCCAACATTCATTATAGTCTATGGAATTGATTTTTCTACTGCTTTTCTAGTTCATCTGGCCTCTGGGACACTGATACATGTAGATGACCAAATTTGGCAGAAGGTGTCCTTACTCATTCAGAGTATTTAATATTATTCTTGTCTCATTCTATATGCTGAGGTTGGGGGAGGACAAGAGAGGGGAGAGGCAAGGAGTATACAGTCCATGCTGTCTTGGGTATCAGAGCTCTTTCCTTAGCTTAAGCAGCCGTTGTATCAGATACGTATCCCGGGGG